CTGAGCTTCACCAGCCAGGAACTTGCCCCATAATTTTTATTTTAGGCAGAAGAGAGAGAGTAAACATTTCCACGGGCCTGGAAAGAACTCCTTTCTACGTGCTTATTACATGCCTTGAGTGGACATTTTTAGAAATTAGTCAGTAATTGGTCAAAAATGAAAAACTGGCTGGTTCTGCATCTCTCTGCCCGCACGCTCACCAAACTGGTAGAGCTAATAACTTATATACAGAGTGAGAATTCTGTACTACCTCCATGAAAAGTGGGAAAAAATTGTCTAATGGGACTTCAGGCAGAAATTACAAAGCTCTTACTGGTTTTGCTGAATTTGGCATCTTGTCAATCTATGCTGCCCTCCCCAGTTTGTGCTTCTGCCATCCAGCTAACAAAGCATATAAAGCCTTATGTGGTGGGCTTAGGGCAGGCATGTTGAAAATCAAAATAATATGTTGGGATTTATTTGTGAAAACAAACCTCAAACTGATCCATTCTCAGAGGCCCTCACTGTAGCTGCCAGGTGCCCGTCACACAAACACCCACTCCTGTGTTGCTTGGGGAGGGTCCCAGTGCAAGCTCCATGCTGGACCAGCTCTTCTCTTTCCATGTTTAACAACCCACCAATCCCTCCAAAAATGTTATTCAGACTCTGAACTAATACTGAGCTATAAGACAAGGGAGAAGTCTGCTGTTGATATACTGCCAGTGCTCATTTGCAATTACCTGGATCGGAATAGCAATAATGCGGTGTTTCTGGTGTTGTTCCTCACAATGGGATTTGAAATAGCTTATTTCTAAATAATTTTATCTTATCTTTGACATTGAGTTCTATCTTTAGTGGATTCTTTTCACCAACAAGACTAAATATACCAATATATTTCTACCATGCCTGCCAATTGGTTCCCAGATTTCATACAAACCTACAGATACAGATTTCATCTGAATCTACAGTGAAGGTGGACTATCCATTTAGTAGAGTACTTCATTTTTTCCTAATGTCATGTATGTAGTGTTTTGCAGAGCTTCCTTTATTTTCAAGGATGTTCATCCTTGGGAGCTCTGACCAGTGAACTATGATATGGATGTACGACACAAAGTGTGTAGTTTTTAAAAGGTTTTCCCAGCTTACACGATAGGTAATTTCTAACGTGTCTAAATGACTGTCTTGTTTGATTTCAGTGAGTTATCAAGAGGGCTGTGTTATACATCAACAGGCCCAGGTTTCATGCCAGGCCCATGTTACAGGCTTAGATTTCCTTGGGGGAAAGTGGAAAGGAAGAAAGAGACAGAGAGTGTTTGCTTGACTATTGTAGCACAGATATTGTACCCCTTCCTCATGCACTGCCCTGGTGCGGAATGGACTCATCTCCACTGCTGCTGCATCTCTCACTTGAGTCCTGTATCCCATTTTTGGGGAACCTAACGTCCTCACTTGCCTTGCAGAGAGTTTGGGGCAGGGCTGCCTAAGGCCCTGCACAGTGATGTGTGAGGTGTGCTTTTAAATATTTTGAGAGACTAAAATAAACTGCCAGAAAGTGGTCAACTGATAATAGAAGTGCCTGAACATGAATGTAAGTGAAAATATGCCTGATTCTAGATTATTTCAATTCTTTGAATAAAAGATATTTTCCTCTCCCTGCATGATTATGCTTCAGATAAGGAATCTGTGCCCAAACCTGTGTCTGTATGGCATGTGCAAACACACTAGCCTACTATTCCATATAGTATCAGATACAAACTTCTTCCTAGCTATACGCTGAATTCATGTTTTTTTAAGTCACTCACTCTAACTCTGGTATTTCAGAAGCCTGCATAGGCAGAGACGTTTAAGTTGTGTTTCATCTGGTGAGACTCAGGGAGCTGGTGCTGGGCACCCTTCAGGTCCCAAATCAACATTTCTTTATTTCTATCCCAGGCGCTCAAGCATGGACCACACTTGAAGCTCCAACAGTCCTCAAATGGAGAAGGGGAAGAGAGAGAAGACTCTGGAAAATTAATACAAGCTTGGGTTTTCATATTCTGTGTTTGGCTGGTATGTAGGACATAACAATGGGGAGAGAACTAGAGGTGTGTGTCACATGTAGTAGGGAGGGCAAAGGTGGAAAGAGGGAGGACAGTCCATGACATGGGCTTATAATCATCTACGTCTGTCTCCTGAAAATGCAGTGGAAATATTTTATAGGAGGCCAGGTAAGGATGAGCCATTTGGGTGTTTGGACACAAGAACTTTTTGAAGGGAGATAGCTTTTAGAGAAAACTGTGATTTATTTGAAAACAATGAGTGAATCCAAATGAGATGCCTTGTTTCTTGCCAGTTCATAAGCAAGGAAAACCTATGGTTCCTGCTGGACATCTCTCCCAGGACTAGTAATATGAGAATAGATTTTCATCCTTAGTTTGAGAGACCTACATTCACAAAGAACTTTAGACATCCTGGGAAATCAGTTGGAATTAGATCCCCAGATGCCTCTTTGAATTTGGTATAATTAGTTCCAGGAAAACACTGCCCAGGCATTTTTTCCCTGCTGCATGCAGGACTGAAATGCAAGAAGGGATATTGTAGAACAACTGTAGAAATCACACACTTTTGGATTTGGGTCAGGAAGCATTTCTTTTTAGTTTTGCTCAGGTGAGAAGAAATCAGAGACGGGACAGGAATCTACGGGGCTCAGTGATGGCTTTTCAATTTGCTGAAATCACTGGGAACAGAGCAAGTACAGACGCAAGTCACAAATCAGCGGGTGACACAAGCCAAAAGTAGTTTTTAAAGAAAGGCAAACAGGCCTGGTTCTTAATGAGGCCACAGATGTTACTTGAGATTTTGCTCCAGTAACTATCAAGACCACACTAGCATTACACACAGATGTTACGCCAAATGATCTTGGGAAGTGGGGGTGTGATGTCATTGGGGGGTTTCAAATCTGGAACACATAATCAACTTATCTTTGTTCTGAGAGCTCTTGTGATAGCCCCCCGGGCTCATTCAGATGTCTATTTGCATAGGAAGTGCCCCGAGGAGAGATCCTGTTCCATGACACAGATAACTGTGGTGACAGTCCAACATACCTGTTGTTTAAGTTTCTCCTTATGAGTGGATATAACATATTTTTGAGAAGAATTATGGTTGAGTGGAAAGAGGATGAATGGTCTAACTCCTCAACCAGTTCCAAAAATATATTGCTTCCAGAGGAAACCTTGAGAGCATGTAAAGTCAAAGCTCTCCAGGGCAGTGTGATCATCTAGATATTTTCTGAGTAAATCACCCAACAGAACTGTGTTGTATTCATAACAGTGAATATTAGTAATGAATAGTAGGGTGGTATTTTAAAGACCTTTTTCTCTAATTAATATTCTAACGTTTTACCTTGGCAGTGATTTCTTTGTCCATACCCTTTTGTCACTGGCTTGAACCTCTTATTTTCTCTAGCTGAAAAACCTCAAGTGGGTCTTAAAATAGAAATTGGCTCAGATACTCATCACATTTCTGCTTTTGCTAGATGAATTTGAAAGAAATAGAAAAACAACAGACATTTCTATTATTGGATGTTTCTTCTGAATATAAAACTCATGCTCAATACTCTGATACTAAAAATAAGTTGCTGTGCTGAAGCCAGCGTGGCTACTGTCTGACTTGATTCCTGCTGAACACATATTTAAGTGCCTTTCTGAGTCAGCACGTTGTAAAACAGGCCTTGCAAGGAGCAGGGAGAATGGTGATAGCTCTAACAACTCCTCTTCGTCTTCAAAACGAAGCATGTGGTCCAATATTTTCCCATAGAATTTAATGATGAATTAGGACTTTAAAAACATGAGTAGGCTTCCATTATTTTCTTCTTTTTGTGTGTAAATAGGAAAATTAAACAAAAAAATTTGATCTCTTATCAGCTTCTAGGGCAAGAAAGGTTATGAATGCCACAAACCCAGTCTAGACGGCACACAAATGAAGGGTTTTCTGTATGGTGAGGCAAAGCATTTTAGCTGATCTTCATTGCTTCTTCCAAAAGTACAGGTATTGTGTTGGGCCACCATAACTAGATATGAAGGTTAAAATAGTTTGCCTTTCCTTATCAGCAGAGACTGTACTGCTCAGGAAAGAACTTAGCAGTTCAAGATCTGCAAAATTTGTCTCAGAGTATGAGGAAGCAGGGCTTTATCTCCACAACAAGCAAGTCTCCAGGCTGACAGCACTGAACGGTGCTGTATTAACTTATATCTCTATGCCTTCAACCTTGTAAAAACTTGTAAAAAAGGCTTATAAACAGCTGGAGCTGTGCCGTTGTGGGGAAGAGGAGCTGCACAGAGGGCTGCAGCCAGGCAGTATTTGCTCCCTGGGCTGCAGAGTGCTGCCCTGCCCCAGCATCCTCAGCTATCTTCCATGAGGGCAAATGTGAGATGTTTCTCCCTGAGATCACTCTCATGCCTTGTCCTGGTAGCTGCAGGTTCATGTGCTCTCCCCCAGGGCAGAGTCACTGAAGGCTTCTGAGACAATAAAAAATTGTTTGGCTTACCCTGGATCTAGTTCTCCTCCAGGGGATGCTTGTCACCACTACAGGTGGAGGTACCCTTTGTGACATGTATGTCTGCAGGGAAGCCTGTGGTGATGAGGTGAGCAACAGGGACAACATCTGGCAAGCCTGATGACCTGACAAGATACAGTGCAGCCCTAGACCCTGGTGATGGGGAAGTCAGTGCTGTGGAAGATCACAGCAGGGTCAGCTGCTCTGAACCCATGGATCAGATCTGCTCAAAGGACAAAGGCAACCCTAATGGTCACTGGATCTGCTTTGAGCAGATATAGGGCTATGTGCCCGGGACGATGTGGTGTGGATCTGGGTCTTGGGACAAGAACCACAAAACCATGCTGACAGCTTTTGTCCCTTTGCACTCATCCTTGCCTGCCCTCAGGGTAATCTGGCTAAAGATCAAGCCAAGTGGCTTTTTGGCAGGGGAAGAGTTTGTGACAGCACAGTGTTGGCACATGTACCCAGCCTTGGCAGTCAGTCCTTGCAGGATACCCTGGCAGGGCTGAGAGCAGCCCTCAGCTGTTTTTATCTTTCACCTTCTACAGCAGCAGAAGAGTATTGCTATGGCTGAGGAGAGCTGAGAACTGAGGAAGGAAACTGTGGTGCATACAGCCCAAACAAAAACTCACAGCCCTGCACTGGAATATTCCTGAAACTGCTTTAGGGACTGGGATAAGAATCAGAGGGTTACTGTGAAACTCTGTTTTCCCCATCATCCACTAGTACCAAAGAGAATCTGGTAGGGCAACTCCAGTGGAATTACTCCTGGTTTACACTGAGGTAAGACTGGGTGACTTCGCTGCACAAGAATTACCACTGGGTGGTATGAGATCTGAGTTTTTTCTCAGGGATAGCTGAATCCTAACACAGTTCAAAAGGCATCCAAAGTTAGAAATGTTGAGAGCAAACATAATTTGGAAACTATTCCATGCTGGAATCCTCTGCAGATGATTACAGTCAGGAAAATCACTATCAGAAGGTAACTGTATGGGCAAAAGAAAGTAAAAAGGTTCTGGGCACTGGTTTTGCTTTCTTAACAAACTGTTTCCTGGCACTGCAAATACAACGGGAAGGAAGAAGGGAAGTATCTGGCTATTTAAATGAAAAATTACTTTTCTCTGCAATCACCTTCTGTCAATAAAATGCTTATTTTCTGACATGTCAATTAGGTGATTCAAAAGCCAGATGACCACTGCCTTCCATTTAGTACTGCTCAGCTGGGTTAAATGTCTTAAGTGTTTACCCTTTATGACCAGTGGCATGTATCTGTTCTTAGTCAAACTGTGCTATGTGTGACATGTTTGCCTGTAGGTTTTTCTCTTGAGTTAAAGTCAACCATTATTATCAGATTCTAAGAAAAATGGTAGGTTAGGACAGTGGTTTCACTGACAGAAATGGCTACAGCTTGTTTTACAGTAATGTGTATGAGAAATATGAAACAGATGAGAAGAATTCACATAGAATTAACCAGCCTGTAATTTAAAGTGCTGTCATTAAATAGGATCATGTATCCATGTTTGGTACTTCAAAAGAAACCTCTGCTGTGTAAGACCAGCTATTAGTGAGGAACATTTTGTCCGGTATCTCAAACCAATTTTGAAAGGTCTTATTACAGACACACACGGCCATGTGGAAATGAAACTTCTTACTTCAGAATCTTTAGGACTTGATTTTGTTCACACAAAACTCTTGAAGTTTTAAGGAAGAACTTTGAGGAAAAAACACATAAGCTCTGGCTCCTGGTGGAGTCCTAGGACAAAGGGTGGTGATAATATCAATATAAGCTTTTATTAAGGTTTGATCTGAACATATAGCACTGTTTGCTTGTGTAAAAGAATGGAGCAGGCAGTGGGTTGAGAAATATTCACATAATAATATTAATTTAACTAATTTAAAATGGATAAATATTTAGAAAGGTGTGTGTTGTCATCCATCAGGGAATGCAGTCCAAGATTTTTGATGGGAAAAGCTAAGATGCTTCTTTTCTGACTTCTGACCAGAACTGAAAGTGAAATGCTCATTTGGCAGATATAAATAAATAAGCTGAGACAATGGAAGTCACTTTCCCAGACAAAAATAATCAGGCTTTGTGAGTAATATCAGGTCAGCAGGACTCATTTTGCAGGCCCAGAGAAGCCAGCAGGAGACAACCACCTTAGTGAAACATTCTTTGGGTTGTACCCTGCTGGGCAACACCATGCTCAGACCTGAGGTGGGGGTTTATATGCACACCCACCCTTTGGTTAGCAATAAGAATCCAGCGAGTAATTAGCACTTTGATATGAACAGTTCCCCTAAAAATCAGTGCTTGGACCTTCAGTCTGGCTCCCCACAGGGTAACTGTCCCTGCCTGCCAGAATACTCCAAAGCCCAGAGGAAAATCTGAGAGTTGAGTGCCAGTGTCATGGCTTGAACACGCTGCTGACTTCTCAGGGGATCAGTTGAGGACACTGCTTCTCAGAACTGGGCAGCTCTGAAATTCATCCAGCATCTCTGGGAAAGGTGAGTGGGACTTGCTTATACGACCCCAGGGTAACAGGCTGGAAGGGACCTCAGGACATCTCTAGACAAACATTTTGCTCAAAGCAGGGTCAGCTCAGGTCAGGCCAGGTTGCTCAGGGCTTTATCCAGTCTGAGGCAGTTGAAAGCTTCTAGGAATGCACCGTTCTCACTCTGATCTTCTTTTCTCACCCCAAGCCTAGTAAGGCCATGCTGAATTGTGGCAGTCCAGAAGGGACCTTTGGTGCAATGGGATTCAATGGGACTCTGTAGGTGCACCTGCACTCTGCTACATATCCCCAGTGATCTGGTCCTTTCATTACTTGAGGTGATCACCTCCTGGGTCAAGCCATGGTTCACCTTTGCACTGTGTTCCATGTTCCTTTCTGCTGAAGCCAAGGCAGCATGTGTGCCTGGATCTCATCTTGGCACTTCCAGCCACAGTGGTTCAGAAACTCTTTGAAGTTACTGAGTTTCAAAGAAACACTCTTGGCTCACTGCTGGCTCTTGGTGGCTGGAGCACAAAGGTCTGCAGGCAACTTCTTCTTCCTCCAGACATTGCTGTAGTCTAATCACAACATTTCACAGAATCACAGAATAGCTGAGGTTGAAAGGAACCTTTGCAGGTTATTCAATCCAACCCTGTGCTCAAAGCAGGGTCTGCTACAGCAGTAGCAACAGTTGCTCAGGGCTGTGTCCACCTTTGTTTTAAATATCTCCAAGGACAGACTCCATAAATTCTCTGGACAACCTGTGCTAGTGTTCAAACACCCTTATGGCAAGGAAATGCCTGTCTTACATTTAAATGGAATTTCCCATGTTTCAGTTCATGTCCATTACAAATTACCGTATTATCACTATAGCTTATTACACACCGAAATTGAATGTACAATGATACTCTTGTGCACACTGTTGTCAGAATAGTAATCTTTTTCTGTCTGACCTACTTGTATTTTATACCAATAACACAGCGTTTAATGTTACATTTTTAGAGGAAGAAAATATATTTTTTCACGCAACAACTTGCCCAGTAGTTTAATCTGACAGAGTGGAAAAAAAATAGCTTGGAGTTTTTTGTAAAAAACCCCCTAAGTTAATTAACATAAGTTAATGTTTAACTTATAATCCACAATACAGATTTCTATACAATTTTAGCAATTCTATGCAGCAATATAAATTATGATTCTTAGTCTAGTTTGTGAAACTATCTCACTGTTTTATACTGTCATGAGGAATAATACAGTTGGATATAACTGATGAAGTTTGCTTTTAGCATTCTTCTAAAATGAGGAGACCAAAACCACAAATGGTAACCAACAACTGTTTTCTATATTCTGCATTATCATATTGTGTGCTGTATTCTTTGGCTTAGTGCCTCAATATACATATATCCAGAAGCACTTACAGAGAAGATACACTTCTGGATACTAGAAGATACTCTACTGGACTCCCCCAGTAGAGAAAGACTAGCCATGATATAGGGCTTGTTCCAAATGATGCAATGTACTGCCAGATGAGCAAACTTAAGCGGCGTAGAAGAACTCAGTTGTCTCCTGTCAGCTTTATGAGATTACACCTGAGCTTTGTCTTCTCCAGGGTAAACAGTCACAACTCTCTCAGCCGTTCATATGACAAATGAACCAGTTCCTTAAACACCTTTGGTGAATTTGATCCCATATGTCCATGTCTCTCTTGTACTGGGGAGTCCAGATGCGGGCACAACATCTAGATGTGTCTCACCAGTGCTGAGCAGATGGGATGAATCAGCTGCTTCGACCTGTTGGCAACATTCTTTCTAATGACACAGGAGGCTGTTGGCTTTTTTCTTTTTGTTTTTTTGTCACAAGGTTGCATTGCTGGCTCATGGTCAACTTGCTGTCCATCCAGACTCTCAGGGCCTTTTATGCAAAGCTGCTTTCCAGTGGGTTGACCTCCAACATATTCTGTTGCATGAGGGGTTATTCCTCCTTTGGGGCAGGACTTTACGCCTTCTTGAAGCCTATGAGATGCCTGTTGGCTCAATTCTCCTGCCTGTCCATACCCCATGAATACCCCCAGAACAACGCTTTAGTTTATCAACCACTCCTACCAGTTTTGTATCTTCTAAAAAGTTTCTGTGCGTGCACTCTGCCTCATCACCCAGGTCATTAACGAAAATATTTAACAGCATACGACCCAGATCCATCCTGGGGTACACCACTAGTGACTGCACTCCAGCTGGACTTTATGCTGCTAACCACAGCCCTCTGAGCTCAACAGTTCAGCCAATTTTCAGTCACCACCATCTGTCTAGCTCATACTTCATCCATTTGTCTATAGGGATGTTACAAGAGACAGTGTTGATGACAATTGTTGCCATCCTCTCAGACACCAAGCCACTCATCTCATAAGAAGCTATTGGTTCAGTCAGGCAGGATTTACTCTTTGTAAATCTATGTTGATGACTCCAAACCATCTTCTTATCCTTTATGTGTTTGGACATGGTTTCCAGGATTAATTGCTCCATCACTGTCCCAGTGAGTGAGGTGCAGATGACTGACCTGTGATTCCCCGGATCCTCCTTCTTGCCTTTCTTCAACATGGGAGTGATATTTGGCCTCTTTTGTTCTGCAGAAATGTATGCCATGGCCTTTCAAAGAGAATCAAGAACGGCCTCTGAAAGACTCAGCCAGCTCTCTCACCTGTCACAGATGCATCCATCAGGTCCCATGGATCTGTGTACGTTCAGTTTTTTAAAGCATTCCTTAACTTGATTGTCCTTCACTGACAGCAAGTCTTCCTTGCTCCAGATTTTCACACTGGTCTTGAGAACATGAGATTCCTGAAGAGAGTGCTCTTACCTGTAAAGACTAGGGTGAAGAAACCATTGAGCACTCCAGCTTTCTCCTTGTTTGGTGTCACCAGGTCCCCTGCACCATTCAGCACTGAGGCTACCTTTTCCCTAGTCTTCTTTTACTGTTAATACTCCTTCAGAAGCACTTCTTGCTGCCCAATACATCTCTCACCAGATCCAACTGTTGATTGTCTTTGGCTTACTCAATCCATTTAATGAAATATTTGCCACCACAGTGGAAGGAATTTCCTTCATCCTTGCACTGAGACCAGTCAGATTTATGGGTTTAAAAATGCTAATAAGTTATGCCTGTAGTACTGAGTATTATTTTAAAAGTTCTCCAAACCCTCTGATGACAGTACTATCATTAATTGAATTTTCCCATTATAATTTATTTTCCTAACACATCTCTCAGAAATCTGATTTTCCGTACCTCACACCCGAACTCAGTACCCTTTTGAATGCTGTAAGTGTGATCTCTTGCTGCTGAGCTCTCTTTGAAGAGTTTGCTTGGGCTGGGAAAAAATTATCCATCTGAGCCCATAGGATTTCAGACTGGCTGTTAAAGTCTAAAACCATTTCAGGAGGTGACTGAAAAATTTTGAAACCCAAGGGAATGAGTCAGGGTTTTTCTACTGACCTGATTCTATAATGAGACAGACCACTTCACTGCCTTGCTTTCACAGCCTTTCCAAATAAAGCATGAATCAAACCTGCATCCTTCTGTATTGCAGAGGATTTTAGCCCTGACTTCAGCAGAAGAAGAACAGGATCTCCCTTGTAACTATCTTGTCTATATGAAGAAATAAATTCGGAAGTAAAATATGTCCACATCTCATTTAAAACATGCCTGAAAAGCTTCTAAGAATTCCCCCATGAAAATTCTGATGTATTTCTTCCAGTATGGGATGGCTCATAAATGACGCAAACAGGGCTCTTCTTATAATTAAGATTACAAATTTAGGAGAGAAATATAGATAAAATACTTTTGTCCCATGACAACTCGGTGCCAGACCATGAGCACTTCAGGTCTTGAGTCTGCTCAAGAACCATTGAGAGCTATGGACAGATGGTTCAGTGTAGAGTTTACTTCATGTTAGGCCATGTGCAACACTCAAAGGGAAACTTTAGTCAGGTTGTCTGCACGAAGTATAGAAAGAATTAGGAGGAGAGATGAACCCTTGATATCAGTTGTTGAGTGTTTCTTTTCTCAGGTCCTTGGAGACCTAAGGGAACAGTGAGCTCCAGAAGCATTCACAGGCTGGAGGTCACAATGAAGTTTTTGAGATCCCACTACTCTGGGGTGGGAATTAATATGGGACTGAATCTGTAGCTAAAACTACAGAAATGAATAGTATGGTTTGAGGATCTGGTTTTGCTTCTGAGGCCAGCCACATGGAATGGCTCAGATCCGTAAGAAAAATGCTTTCTCACTAAAACTGGGTAGCATAAGCCAAAATTTCACTACGGAGAATGCAGGGAACTAAACAGCATGGGTCAAAATCAAATGTCTGGCTTCTTTAATTGATATAATTTTAATTTGGGGATGGTTGGGGTTTAACCCTGGTAGGCAGCTAAACACCACACAGCTGCTTACTCACTACCCCCCCAGTGGGATAAGGGGGAGAAGGATAAAAGTGAGAAAAATAATTGAGATATAGACAGCTTAATAATTTTAAAAAAATGGAGGGAAATATAACAAAGAAAAAAGAAAAAGCAAATAAATTTCAAGCTCACGAAAAACAAGTGAAAGCTATTTCTCACCGCCAACAGAACGATGCTCCGCCAGCCCTTGAGCAACAGCATCCCCCACCAACTTCCACCGTCCCGGTCTTATTACCAAATATGTCATCATAGTTTCTGGGATGTCTCTTCGGTCAGCTGGGGTCAGCTGTCCCAGCCGGCTCCCCTCCCAGCTTCTTATGGACCCCCAGCCTACTCTCTGGCAGGGCAGTGTGAGATGTAAGAAACATCTTGAGGCTGTACAAGCACTGTTCAGCAATAACTAATGCATACCTGTATTATCAGCACTGATTTCATTCACAAATCCAAAACATAGTCCCACACAAGCTATTTTGAAGAAAATCAACTCTATCCCAACGAAGCCCAGTCTGGGGATGCTGTCCTGTCTGTCACTAGCATTGTTCCTTGTCATGGTTTGAGAGAACCA